TGCAGTTCAAGTCCATGTATGCATATATCATGAGTTACATCCTTTTTCCACACTTAACTCAATTTGCAACACTCTATCTACTGATATCGGTGCTTAAGTTCAGAAGGGAAAGTTGGGTGATTATGTTGCTGCGTGATTAAAGGGTGTCTTTTCAAGGAGCTGTGGCACTGCTTTGGAACCACTCATAGTCTGGTGGAACAATTACGAATAGCGAAAAAAATTGCTTTGTTTCTTTGAAGTTCGGACTAAAATCTGTGGAACTGTCAAACAACAATATTACTCTGTTGAGTCAAAGGAACGGCAAAACAATGTCATTGGTACAACACTGATTGGCTGAAAGAGAAAAGCGACTAAATAATTATTAAAATCTCTCCAATTAAGAATAACTAGAAAACCCGCATGGCGTTAAGACGCCAAATTTTAATTTAACTTTTTATACAGATGGGAACACTCTTCAAAAACCTTAATGAATATTGCAAATGAACGAAGAGAGGTCTCACATGGCGTCGATTTTTCCTTTCCTTAAAATTCAAACCACTCTGTACCGCTAAAAAAAGTCGTAACTTCAAAAAATAAAACCTTAATGCATATCCAGAATCACGGTGCTGATCTGGTGACCTTCACATTAAAGATCTGATGACCATAACAAAAAAAAACTTTATTTAAAAAATTACCTCAAACCAATTTTTTCGGTATATTATGGGTTTATTCGAAAGAGAAAATATTCCCATTAGTTATGGAGCACATGCGACTGTCTTCGCAGTAGAGCATCCTGTTAATCCAGTTTTCCAAGACCAAGGTCTTCTAGCTCTATACCAAGAAATGTCCGACATACGTTTTAAGAGCCTGAATCGTTGATAGATTTTTCGCATAATATCGGTCCTTCACGGCATGGCACAAAAAATCTAACGGCGTGAAATCGCGGCTCCGAGGGGACCAATTGACTTCCCCGAAACGGTTACACATATTTCAATTAACTAATGAATCAAATTTGATTAAATTTTCTTATCACCTGGCAACTCTCCTAAATACAGTTGAGATATAAATCCTTCTCAAGCCCATAAACAATTGAATTCCCCCTTTTAGTAATTTATTTAACTTAATAATTCATACGAATTTAAAATTTTCAACAGCTGGCAACTCTCTTCCAATCATCCAACAAAATTTTAATGTTTGAACTGAAGATTTCTTAGCACTCTTTCGTTTAAAATCCATATTTTAATAATGCATACAACTTGTTTTAAACTTAACACGACTTTTCAAAGTATTTTCAAATTACTACCTTCTAAAACCCCTTTAGTCTGGACCCTGTGGGGGGAACATTTTTCAGTTACCTATGTTATTTCCTTATTTAAAATTTAACTTGATTTTTTAAACATTTAACAGCCTAATCCGTGTTTTGAAGTGAAACTTCTTTAGCGGTGGTTGGTTGGTTGGGAGTAACTTGGCAAATTCAACGGAAATCGCACACGGAAATGGTGCAACAGAAATAGTGCAACGGAAATGGTGCAACGGAAATGGTTGCGACGGAAACAAGTTCTTCTTGAATTTGTGTTATTAATTTAACAAAAACTTGCTAATAAAAGGATAAAGAATAACACTTAGAAATATGCAAGAATGGATGTAAGGGTGAGTACGTACATAGATAAAGAAACGGATAAAGGCAAAGGTTAAAGTAAAACCAAAAACAAATATTCGTAAATATAAAGGCAAAAATGAAGACGAAGGTAAATTTAAATACTTTACTTATATATATAAGGGCAAAGGTGATAGGGCATAGGTATGTAGACGAAAAAAATTATAAACGTAAAAGTAAAAACAAAAATAAATATAAAGAAAAAGACGAGGATGGGGATACCGAAAAAAGGAAGACAGACTGAAATAAAGGTACTTATAGGGAAAAGGATATACATAGATAGAGACACAGAGACTCAATCTGGAAACTGTTTTGGGACTTTAGACACATTTGGGATTCTCGGGACTTATGGATAAAATAATCGATGTTTTCATCAGTTTTGTTATCGGTATTAATATCGATTATTTATCGATTTTGTTATCGCTGCTGTTACCGATTTTCTAATAAATTTTTGTTTTCGGTTTTGTTATCAACATTTTTATCGTTTATTTATCGATTTTGTTATCGATTTTTTATCAATTTTGCTATCGATTATTTATCGATTTTGTTATCAATATTAAAAACGCAGTTTTACTATATTTGGCGCATAGTTTCCTGAGTATATCGATTATTACGTATGTTTTGAAATGTTTTTGCTTTTGTCACACGGTTTTTTAAATGCTTTCTCTTTTTTTCAAGCTTAATAAACTTAAACCACTACTAGGGTATTAATTATGTAAAGTTTTGTTAGCAAGACTGCGACCTCGCCAAATGAAACACCCTTTATTTATCTATGCCATGCGATAAGCGTTAAACTTCTGCTTGACAACCTCTGGTGCGTACAGCATTAAGTTAAGCATAGCACGAGCGGTTTGAAAAATGATTGTCATTTACACAATTACCAAAACCAAAGCTAACCGAAAAAGAAAGCATAAAAAATAAAAATTCGAAAAAGGATCAAGTAAAAGTTGCATAACGTGGCAAGTCGTGCTACAGCCAAAGTACAGTTATAAAAACAAAAAAAAAAAGATGTACAAAAATAAAAGTAATAGTTGTGTGTAGTCGTTTTGGGTGCAATAAAGCATTTCTCTGTAGTGGTGTGAAGCAATTTATTCCTTTGTTCCAGCTTGAGAGTGCAGCTCCTGCCGAGCGCGCAGAGGGTGTGTGCGCTTCACACATCGTTTACTTTGCATATTTATTTCGAAAAGATACGTTAAATTGCGCATGCAAAGAACTTGCTCGTACTCGTATTTTATTTATGTAGCTGCCTTTGCGCTGGTTTCAAATTGGCCAACCGCGCATTTCTCAAAAAGTACGAGTACGTACAATAACAATCAACCGACACAAGCACAGGCGTTGTACGGTGATTTGGAGCGATTTTCGGTAAGAATGTAGTGTGTGTATGTATATGTAGTAGTTTGTATAAAAAAAAAAATAGTTTGGTTTTTATTCACCATGTAGAAAAAATTATGCATTCACACATTTGAGCAATATCACGTAAATTGTATTCGCTGACCTATTTTAAAATACGTGGGCCAAAAAATGCTTCTACATACATACATACATATGTAATAATCGCGACTAAAAAAAAAATTGCTGGTAAGCCAGAGGATTGATTCGAAGTTGTCTTTGATAACGGAATGTGAATTTTATTTCGAATCGATAGTAATTCACAAAATTATGTAAATTATATACACATAAAAATTATATTCTGGTCGTTGTTAGGCATGCACGATTTCATGAACTTTATTTTTCTTAAAATTTTGAATAATATGTTTTTTTTCAAATCTAGCACATAAAAATTACATCTAAATATTAAAATGAGTGGAAAGATCGAGACGATATTTTTCGATCGGAAAACTCCCAATTGTTTCTTTAACAATTTTTTCATAGCAACTATATTTAATAGGTCCTATAAAACCTCCATAAAATGCATACAAAATCTTTAGTACTGAAAAATAATTAAATAAACAATTAGATATTATTATTGGAAATCTCTTGAAAAGAACAAGACTTTACTAATTTTGGAACACCCTAATGTAGGTACTTCTACGTAATGCAGAATTGGGTTAGATGGTCCAAGCAATGGCGTCGCAAGGTTAGTTAGTCCTAGCACATTTTAATATCTTTACACTACATCGAAATCTCGTCCTGATTAAATGGCAAAAAATATATTCCCCGTTCTCAGACGACCACAAAATTAATTTTAGTTTCAAAATTACCAAAGCAATGTAAGTTGTTTAAATTTTTTAAAAACGCAAAAAATATCTCCAGTTTTTTTGGTATTAATAAAAAATTAATATCAAATTTTTAAATTACCAAACAAATTATATCCAGTTTTCAAATCGATAAAAAAATGTGTTCACTTTTGAAACAAAAAAAATATCCAGTTTATAAATACCCAAACACATTTAAATTAGTTTTTGTTAGGTATTATTAAAAACCTTGGACCGTATGTATAAAAGCTAAGAATTGATTTTTTTTTTAATTTCAAACCTTTCACTTAAATATATTTTAAAAAATCTAGTAGAAGTTCGAAAATTTTAAGAAAAAGCATTTGCTTGGTTTTTATGCATACGGCTCCTTATGTCCGATTTTTAAATTACCAAACAAACTTTTCAAGTTTTCAAAAAATAAAAATTGTATGCACATATGTTCACTTTTTAAAATCCCAAAAAAAAAATTATTTTCAGTTTTTAAATAACCAACAATATTTAAATTTAGTTTTTAGATGTATGTTCAGTTTTTAAATGGTCAACAAAATATATGTGCTGTTTTTAAATAACCAAAAAAATTATATCGAATAATGAAATGAATCAAAAATTATGCTTATTTATTTTACCAGAAATTTCATACCAAAATTAAAAAAAAAAAGTTAAGTCCAGTTTTCAACTGACCAAACAATTTAGTATGTTCAGTGTTTAAATCACCAAAAATAATTATTTACAGTTTTAGAATTATCAAACAAAATTTATTTATTTTTTAAACAAAAAAAATCTATATCTTTTTTGAACAAAAAAAAATCTATATTTTTTTTACAATGTTATCGAAATTGTAACTATGAAAATTATTTTAAAACCTAATGCAAAAAAAAATGTCCCGTTATTACATGACCAAAAATCTTAAGTGCAATTTTTAAATGACAAGCCGAGCCAAACTAAAAAAAAAAAAAATACATCCATATTTTAAAGGACAAAAAATATGATGAAAAAAGTTATATCCAGTTTTTAAATTACCATAAATCACATAATACTTTTTAATATAAAAATGTTGGGTAGCTTATTCTGCATACTTAAAATTCTGGGTTATTAATCGATTCTGGATTATTCAGATCTTAAAGCACTCTTCAAAATTAGGCATTCACTGAATTATTTATTTTTTATAAATAAAATTAAGTAACTTTAGTCCAACCAATTTCAATTAAATCAGTTAGATATAATTACCAATCCCACAGTTTAATCCACCAAATAAAAAAGGAAGGTAAAAATAGAATAAAGATTCCTATCTGGCGCTTTGAATTAAAATAAAAAATTTTTAGCCACACTCCTCTACATATTTCTATAAATTTGTATACGCACCCAGCCCGGCCAGCCAGACCGTCATTGCGTTGTCCTTCGTTGCACTTCAATTCCCGTCAATACAATTACATTCGTTTCATTTCGTTTTGTTAGAGCAAAGAAATATTCGATTTTTCATTTACAATGTTCAT